CGTGTTTACTTAACATCTGCAGAGAAGTCACAATTTTACCTTTTAAAAACATTACTCTTTAACAGTCATAACAGAGCCAAAATTTGTTTCTTTGAAAGAACAATGAATAAACCAAACCATAGGCAAAACTGAGAAAACAGAAAAGCAAAGTAAAATGAAGAGTGAGCACAAAACAATATGAGCAATAAAACAAAAGACATAAAGATGCAGCAGAAATTAAAACCTATTAAGGAGACATTGTGAAAACACTAATGACAATAAAACTGAACACTTCAAAAAAATGCCTAGAAAACATAAAATTAATAATTGTCTTTGAAAGTGGACTCATAAATGGATGCTAAAAAAATTGGGTGCTAGACTGTCACAGAACAAGATTTGCATGTTTTTAAAGTATATCCCCCAAAATCACATTGATTACAGTGTAGAAAAACAAAGCACATTCACAACAGAGAAATCTGGTGGATAGTCACCAAACTCATGTCATGGATAATGCAAGAAAGTGACATTATAAGCAATCAGAAATACTTATCACAAAAGCATTCTGGACAATATATTTAAGCAGGACCTAATTATGAAGAAATATTAAGATAAATTAATATTGAGAGACAGTCTGTAGAATGGTTAGGAATTGTTCAAAGTATCAATGTCATGAAAGGTAAGAAAAGACAAGGAGACTCTTCCACACTAAAGAAGACGAAAGAGTTACAATAACCAAATGCAATATAAAATTTATAATTTTTTATTAGGTCAAAAAGATGAAAAAATGATTTAAAAACATTTGGGGATGATGGGAAACACTGGGTAAGAGTTTCATATTAATGTTCAATTTATTTCACATTATAGTGGTACTGATGTTCCATGGGAAATATCCTTGTTCTTAAACAACACACAGTGGGTACACAGTGTCATAATGTTGGCAGCTAACTTTTAAATCCAAAAGAAAAGAATAATAAAGATATTTTCCCTACGGGGAAAATGCTTCTTAGCAAAATAAAAATGAAGGAAAGTACTTCAAATGATAAAGTAAATTGAAGGAAAACAAAACAAAAACAAAACATAAACCTTCATCGACCATCATACTCAATATTGACATGTTAACAGCAAATCCTTTAGTCCCAATGGCTGCAGGCGGAACAATTTCAGCAAGAAAGTTAATAATGATAGATTTTGGTTGTAACACAAAGAATAAAATAAATACTATTAATTTTTACTAATATAAATGACAGAACGAAGACATGAAAAAAGGAAGGACAGACAAACTTCTTTGCTGAAGAATTCCAAGTAATATATGCATATACCCTTTAGAAGGTGGAGCGTAATCAGTATCTCTTTGAGTATGGGCTAGAGTTAGCTACATATTTACAAATAATAAAATATTAAAGGAAAATATATTACCTTACCAGAGCAGAAACCCAGCAGACACCACCATACATAAGTGATCAAAGCTAATATCACCACTAATAAGTAAGGCTGGTTGTATGTACCTCCTGATATGATAAGAGTGTATCACCTATTTGGAATTCTTCCCCAAAACTTATAATCTCAGTTTAAGCATGACAAAACGTGTGAACAATACAAACTGGGGGGATTTTCTACAAAATACCTGACCAGTACTATTCAAAACTGTCTAGCCACGAGACACAAGGAAAGAGAAACAGTCACAGATTCTAGGTGACTAATGAGACATTACAACTAAATGTAATGAGTTTAATCTGAAAAAGATCCTGAAACAGAAAAAGGTGATAAACTGGAAAGAGTGCTGACATCCAAATAAGACCTGTAGTTTAGTTAATAATACTGTATGAATGTTGATTCTTAGTTATGCAAATATGCCAAAGTTATGTAGGATGCTAACACTGGAGGAACCTGAGTTAAAAGTATACAAAACTCTCTGTACTATCTTTACAACATCTTGTAAATCTGAAATTATTCCAAATCTTAAAGTTTAAGTTAAAACAAAGAATAAAAGCAGGAAGAAGACAAAGGTATATACTAATTCAATCAACAACCTAATAAGAGATAGAAAAGGAACAGTAAAAGACTCAGAAGAAAAAAATATTTGATCTCACAAACAATATCATCTTTTGCATAATAAAATATAATTTCTACAACTGTCAAAATAAATGAAAAAGCTTAATAAGTTTTCTAGATATAAGATCAATACTAAAAAATCAATTGCATTTCTAAACACCAGCAATATACAGTTAGAAATGTAGTGTCAAAGAAAGATTTTAGCAATAGCCTAGAAGGAATCTAGAACTAACTCTAAATAATGGATTATTCATAATAACATCATTATGAATACAATTTTAAAAGCATATAAACATTAAAGAAGACTCCAATAAATGGAGCAATGTAAATAAAGTTCTCAAGGACAAAGTCATTATTACTGTGATGTCACTTCTCTGCAAAATGATCTATACATTCAATGTTCTTACAATAAAAATGACAACAGTAGTTTTCAATGAACTTTACAACCTATTTCTCAAGGTTGAAAAGGTTGAAACCAGTAGCTTTCAAAGAACTCTACAACCTATTTTTATACTAAAGAGCAAAACAGCCAGAATGCTCCAAAATGGGAATAAAATAAGGTGAGATTTGCTTATTACAAAGCTTCTAGAATGCTACAGCAGTTAAGACGGTGTCATTCAATTAAGAAAAACAAAACTGAGTAACAGAAGAAACAGAGCAGACTACATATAGAAACCCAATCTGCAAGCTAGCTGGCTTTGCACTTCATTGGGGAAAAGAATGACTATTCAATAAATGATGCTGGCATACTATTGGATACCCTCCTGAAAAATCTCATACCACAAACATAAATAAATTCCAGATAAATAATGAAAAATTAAAGGTAAAATTTAAATAGACAAACAGATCAATAGAAAGGAGCAAAAGACATGAGCGGGCATGATAAAAAGGTAATATGAATGGCCAATAATAAATATAAAAATTTCTCAACCTTATTAGTAATCAGAAAAACAAAATAAAACCAATGAGAAGGTACAATTTCACACTTACCCATATTACAATTTTTTTAAAAGATCAGAAGTTGGTGAAAATGCTGTGCAACAAAAATTTGTGTATATTATTGGGAAATGTATAAACTGATCACTTTGAAAAAACAATTTAACTCTACCTAGTAAAGCTGAAAATATAAATGTCTTAAAACACTGAAACCATTCTCAGAAAGTCTCAAAGTTGTCTTCCTCTTTTGCATAAGGAGAACTGGAAACAAGTCAAATGTTCATCAAAGCAGAAGATACAAAAAAGGTCATTTCTATGATGAAATATTATACATCAAAGACAACAAATGATCTAATAAGCTATCAGCCTCAATATGAACTAATTTTAAAAGCCTAATTTTTTTTTAGTTTTGCTTGTTCTGAAACATACGTTAAATCATAAAAGAAAGCACACAGTATTACTCCATTGATACCTATTTCAGAACAGCCAAGGAATTAACTATTTTTGTAAGATCACACATAGAGAAATATGTGCTTCTTATAAAATTATAGAGAAAATCAGGAGAATGAATAACAAAATTTAGGACAATGATTATATTTGCAGTGACAAGAAGGTGGAATCAGGAAAGAATATGGGTAGTGGGTGTCACATGGCTCTCTTGGTGTTGACCTGTGGGAACTGGAACTCTAGGAAAAAGCACAAGAAAGTGCTAATAATACTCCAGTGACTGCTACTTTTGTAATGAAGTCCTTTGTCTCTGACCCAGAAGTCTCCTATCTTCCATTAGCATCCACAAAAGGGATAGGATTACTTACTACTTTGCAAGTAGGGCAAAATCTTACACCCTTTGTAATTTTTGACAAGATTATGTTTACATAAAAAAAAGACAAGAGGTGCAGTACAGTATGATGAAAACCTGACTAAATAGGTGTTAGGAAAAATGAGTTTAGCATTTGTTTAGGTACAAAATCTGAATGAGATCTAGGGCATCTGCTTTATTCCTCTGGTCGTCTTCTAAAGATAATCAGGGTAGCTTGTAGTTCTCAAAGTCTAAAATTATAGATGTAAGGAAAAAAACAACATGAAATGTACAGTCACAGAAAGAACAAACGTGAAGAATATGTAACCATGTAAATGCTAAAGATAAAAACTGTGATGACAGCAAGTACAAAGTTTATTTCATTTGTACTGAAATATTTATTTGTAATATACCATGAGATGAAAATTCTCTTTTAACTTGTATATCAAAGAGAAAATAAAAAATCCAGTGAAGAAGTTCAAGTAAAATATTTTCATGTTATACAAATGTCATTGAAGTGAAAAATCTTCAGTAAGACCACCCAACCTTGACAAGTGTATTCATATGGGATTTACAGAGTAATATTTGTATGACATACAGTAGGTGGTCTTTTGCGTGGGTGAAATACTCCAGCTGACTTTGGTTCATGAATGCTTCTAGGATAATTATGATGAATTCCTACCTGGCAAGGCATAACGTTAGCCTAAATATCTAATGCTGCTTTCTGAACTGTATGTCTTCTTTGTGATGTAATATTCAAACTTCTTAGTCCTGTGCATGTGTATGTATCCAGGTAACATGTACCCGTGGATAGAGCTTTTTCTTTTAGTAGGTTATCATTTATTTTATTGATTTGACTATGAGGAAGGTCAAATATAAGATTTTCAGCACTAACCGCAACTTAGGTTTTCTAGCACAACTGTATTCCTTTATACAGCTTTGTATTCTCTATTCCTTATTTTAAATGGTTTTATTCCATATATGCTTTTTTACCATAAATTATATTAAATCATTTTAGAAGTAGGAAGAAAATAATGACCACGTACGCACAGTGTATCTTCTGATTTTAAATTAAGACTTCAAATAAAACATGGCTTCAATGAGGCTGGAAATTTCTTAGATCATCAGAAAAATAAAACAAAAGATGTCACTTAAAATCAGATCATCAAAATTAAGCAATTTGAAAGACTTTAACAGTTGTTACATTGTTGGAATTTCAAGTATGATAACTTACTTGCATATGTCATCTTCTGGGTCTTCAAGCCCAAATCTTTCATCAAACGTAAGTTGTATCCATACATTTTCCTCTACTGCTACTAATCTCCATACCAAGACCGTATTTCTTGGATAAGTATGAGGAAACCTTGGGCTGTGAATACTTCCATTAGTAGACACAGTAATAATTCTCTCATGCTGAGGATCTTGTACTCCTAAAGCAAAAACATAGACACAGGCATACATTTAGAGCACAGATTTCTAAAATTATAGGTATCAAAACAAATGTTTATTATTTGCACTTTACCTCAGACAAGTGCTGAGTGTGTTTTATATGACATACGCCAAATACCAATCTTCCCAGAACTGATCCAGAAAAAAGATTATTTTATCATCATTGAATAAAAACCTGTTTCATATTTATACTTGAAAGAACATAGAAAATTACTCTTTCAAGGAATTTAATTACTGAAATGTCAACTATAAACTCTTTTGGAGTCATAAAATCACAATAAAGCTGAGTTAAGAATCAAATTTCTGAGAAGTTATCAAATACGAGACATTTTAGAATAAAAATAAACTAGACATAATTCTATTTTAAAAAACACAAATAATGATTTTAATTCCCTAACTTAAAAATAAGAGCTGCAGAGCTACAGTCAACTAATTATTCAAAGATTTGCATTAATTTTATATATGGAAAAATAAGAAGGGTATTAAGATAGTTGAGGAAAATGAAATGTGAGGATAAAAGAGGCAGAAGTGGATTAGTAGAAAAGACTGTTTTCAGCTTTTCTCACTGATCTTTGAAATGTCAATTAGCATACCATACCACACACCATTTATAGCTTCTAACCTCTTTTTATTACCATTGCTTTAGAAACTGAGCTGGCAAAAGGTTCTTAATAACAACTCATAATTTAGACCCATAACTTCTGGGGGAAAAAAAAATGGCATGCAATACAAGTTCAGAGCTTCACATGAACTGGAATTACTAAATAACCTCAAATCTTAAATGACTCTGAAAAGTAAAGCAAGATCAAAATAATGGTCTTAACCTCTTGTTATAAGGGATCTATCAGCAGTACATGAAAATATTAAAATACAAAAACTGTTGCAGGACTTCTCAATGCATGAATACACAAATATGAATTTTAAATCTCCAAGGGCAGAGTATAGTACAAAACGGCTTCCAAGTTTACTAGGCAAGGTATCTTTTCACATTTATGAAATGCTAAAACATACTGTTAATAATATCTCTCTTCCTTTTTATCAGAACGTTGGGGAGAGAATTGAGGGAAAGGGCAAGCTGGCACTGCTGAGGAAAGAAGTATTCCTATACTTAACCAGTTGAGATTTAATAATGAGATGAAACCCACAACTGATAAGTTATAAAATAAGCAGTCATTAAACCACTACAAAAAAATGTAAGAACTAGGCTAGTTATAGGCTCCAGGTCATAAAAAACCATTTAAGGATGCTAACTTCCAATGAGAAAGAAAAAACGTTTAAATATCCCATATTGAATTTCTAATATTATTTTATTTTTTAAAGAGTAAAAGCCTTAGACTGGACCTTGAACACATGAAGTGATGTGCATGGTAGGATATCTGACAATTTTTTAGTGCAACTTTTATATACTCATAATATCACAACAGTCTTTAGCAATGCCTCATTGGTTTTCATAATTTGGAGATATGCTGCACAACACTGAACACTGTATTTGCAGTAAGATCATGGAGAGATTACCATTACTTTATAAGCACCATTATTCATTAATCTGCCCCTCAACATCCACTCTCTTATATATACTTAATTACTCTCCAAAATAAGATATCATTGTATTCACTGCCTTTGGATATGTGCCATCAAGCTGTGTAACGGAGTTTACTAAGCCCTGTGAAATCATGACATTTTAGATTAAACCCTACATTTTTCTTCTTTCTACCTTTTGTCTTTGTATTATAGTTTTCTGGCTTTTCCTCTTCTCCATTTATTTCACTTCCAAAAACCTAAGTCCCATTCCACCAGCCTATTCTCTCTCTACTCAATATCTTAAAAGTCTGTGTCTTCTTTTATCTTCACACCAGTGATCTCACTTACTTTATGACAGGCAGAATTCTAAAATGATCTCCCCCTGTCCCTCATCCTTTCATAATCCTCTCCTTGAGTGTGTGAAATCTAATGGGATATTACTCCCATGATTAGGTTAGATGACTTTGAGTTATCATATCTGGGTGGGTCTAACTTTATCAAGTTAGAGCCCACAAGTTAAACTGGGTCCTTCCTAAACCCAAAGAAATTTCAAACTGTGAGAGATACTTCAACAGGAAGGTGATCCTTTATTGCTGGCTTTGAAAATGCAGAAAGCCATGTGCCAGTGGATATGGGAAGCCTCTAGAAGCTGAGAACAGTCTAAGAATGACAACCAGCAAGGAAATGAACACCTCAGTTCTAAAAGATGGAGGACCCTGGTCAGCTTGGAAGCAGACTGTTCTCCACAGCCTCCAGAAAGGAGTCTAGTCGGTGGACACCTTTATCTGAACTTTCTAAGACTCTGAACAAGAATTCAGTCACACTGTGCCTGGAATTGTAACTGACAGAACTGAAGTTGATAAAGGATACTTTAAACTGCTAAATGTGTAGAAATTTCTTACATAATATTAGAAAACTAATACTCCTTCTATCGCACACAAAGCTGTTTGAATTATGGGTATTTCTTTTTGCTCACAATTGTCAGCACTAATTACAGTAACTGCAGCTACTTTTCATTTAGTATTTATGTTAATCAAAATACGTTAACATTATTTCACATTAATAAGATACAATTTAAGAACATTGCTCTAGGAAACTTCCTGAAAGACACAATGTCAAGGGTCGTGTATTAGTTAGACTATGATTAAGGTTAAAGAACAACCTCTTTAATCCTAAACTACCCCAAATAATTGTAACGTTTTATTTATGAGATATAATTAAATAACTGAATGCCTACATTCTTCTCAGTGTTTAAATTTTTCCTCAGCAGTAAGTACCCTATATAGAACATGTTTCCTCTTAATAGATGCTAATATTTGATACTGATATTGGCTGTAATAATATATATAAAATAATCAACACCTTTTCTATGCATATTATTTAGCACCAGTGTATCTCCTAAGAATATAGAAGGAATTATAAAGTGAGAGGAATTCTCCACATAGACAAATTTTATTAAGAAAATAGGCCAGGGCGGTGGCTCACGCCTGTAATCCCAGCACTTTGGGAGGCCAAGACGGGCGGATCACGAGGTCAGGAGATCGAGACCATGTTGGCTAACATGGTGAAACCCCGTCTCTACCGAAAATACAAAAAATTAGCTGGACGTGGTGGCGGCGCCTATAGTCCCAGCTACTCGGGAGGCTGAGGCAGGAGAATGGCGTGAACCCGGGATGCGGAGCTTGCAGTGAGCCTAGATGGCGCCACTGCGCTCCAGCCTGGGCGACAGAGCTAGACTCCGCCTCAAAAAAAAAAAAAAAGAAAAAAGAAAAAGAAAATGATGCTCAGCCCAGGCACTGTGGCTCCTGTCTGTAATCCCAGCATTTTGGGAGATAGAGGCAGGTGGATCCCTTCAGCTTAAGAGTTTGAGACCAGCCTGAGCAACATGGTGAAACCTTGTCACTAGAAAAAAATACAAAAATTAGCTGGACATGGCGGCATGTGCCTTCAGTCCCAGCTACTTGGGAAGCTGAAGTGGAAGGATCACTTAAGCCTAGGAGGTTGAGGCTGCAGTGAGGTGTAATGGCACCACTGCACTACAGCCTTGATGACAGAGCAAGACCTTGCCTCAAAAATTAAAAAAAAAAAAAAAAAAAAAACAACCAACAAACAAAAAACATTAAAAAGAAAGTAATGATCATAAACTCTTGAAACTTAAATTCATTAACTATTTTCAAATATTTCTTTTAAAAATGAGTTTCTCCCTATTGTCCGAAGTTTCTGCCAATAATGTACATATTTCAGAGGTACTTATAGTAATTTATATCAATAGTCCTTCTCATCTTGGCAACTAGTATTTTTGATGAATTATTTTTTTCCAATCAGATTTATTAAAATCGAGCATCTACCTTATTTTGCTCCAAAACAAATGCCTTTTATCCAAGGCACTCATTACAAATATAGCAGGGTTTGGCATATAATCGAGAAAACTACATGGCTATTAAAAGATCTGAATTCTATTTTTATATCTTCAGTCATAAAGCGCATGGCTAAAATATATATACTTAAGTTTGTGTTTACATCTCTTTTTTCCCTTTATAATTCACTATTCAATTAGACTATAATTAAACATAATTTAAAGACTGAAAATCTGGGCCTTATTTGTGGTTAAAAAAAAAAATGTAAATTTTCTTTTAAGTTAAATTGCTGCTCCCAAAAAAATCACCTTGAAATGCAAGGAGGTTTGCCACCAAACACTTATGATTCGCAGATGACCGTCAAAGTTTTATGTAAATCTCGCTTAAGCAACTAGGACTATAATCAGAAGAAGAAAGAAAAAGAAGCAACAAACATTAAGTTTACCAAATTAAGACTCTGTGCTTATATTCTGTTGTTTTAACAGTCATTTTTTGAACATATAACTTTACTAGTATTTTAGGGATGAGAAAACTACCCACTTGAGAATATTTTGTCAAACATTTGCTTTTCCTATATCCAACAGACAATATACTCAAATTACCAAAAAACCCCACAAATGTTTATAGTCAAATCACTAAAATATTTATCACATGATCCTTGCACACTTGTATACTTTAACAAGTAAATCAATCTTGTACATCTAATGAGCTTGACACGAAAAATGAAAATATGTATAAATGCTACATTTTAAAAATTATAATTATAGACAAATTCAGATTACCATACACAACCCTCTTAAGGTAGAAGTACTGAAAACTAAAATGAATAAAAAATTTAAAAAAGGAAAAGAGAGAATAATAACATAAATACTGTAAACTTGTTGACTATATATGTAAATATACAATTCAGTCATATAGAATCACTATGTATCTGTAAGTAGCCAGTTTAGCACTTTAAATCAACGCAATTCTATAGTGTTTAACATGCATTACATACTCTTGATTTCTTTAAAGAAATATTTATTATGGGTGAACGAAGGTGGTAGTGAGAGAATCATAAAATGCAACTCAAATTATAATCCTTCAAAATGCTACATTATTAA